CCACGAAGACGTAAGGTATTGGGAGCCTCCAAGAAGGGCGTCAGCTTCACGCCAGTGAAGGCTAAGAAGAAAGGCGGAGTCCGTTGGAGGGACGATGAGACGGAGGAGGGCACATTGGAGGACTTTTCGAAGACACCCCAGAAGTACAACTCTTCCCCTGCGATTCCCTCGCCTGAGAAGCCAATCGTCGCACCCATCATGCCTTCATACCTGGAGCCCGAGACATCGATTGTCGAGGAGTCAAGCCCCAGTCTCGAGATCCCCGAGGCCAGCAGCTTGGGTGCAAAGCCTAGCAGGTTCCAGGCTGGTTTCCTTTCCAAGGGACCTAGACATTCCCTCGCTGATGGATCACCCAAAGCACCCACCATGACACTCAAGCTCGAAGCTTCACCTGATATTCAGCGAACACCGCCCCTGCGATCCCTGGATGTCACTAAGAGTGGCAATTTCTCACCATCGCCATCGGGGCTCGGTATTCCTAGAGCAATTCGACGACTGCCCACGATACACGATGAGAACAACCCTCCCGGATCTGGATCTGACTCCGAGACGAGCACTATCGATGCTCGAAAGCTTCAGACCGCCCTCCGAACCGCCATGAAGGAAAAGGCTCGTAGAGCGAGCATCATGGCCGGTACCACAGCATCCAGCACCAAGCGAGTATCGTCAATGGGATCGTTGCCTGAGCGTACGGGACCCAGGCCTAGTCTGCCTGCGGCCCTCGCCAGTAGCACCAACGGTATCTCTCGACTCCGCCGAGGTAGCGCTGAGAGGAGACGAAGCCCCCCGATGGCGTGCTCCCCAAACGACTTCAAGATAGACATGGCTCTGACACCTGGTCAAGCTAGACGCATGAACATGAACAACACAGTCACTCGAATGGAAGGTCCTGGATCAAGCCCTCAGGGTGGCATGGCGGGCAGTGCGCCGCGACGAATTACCATTGGCATGGGAAGCGGTGCTGCTCATCGCAGACAGGAAAGCAGAGGCTATACCCTGCGATAAGCGAGCGATCGATATGAGGAGGGTGAAACGTATATACACAGATTGAGATTGAGATTGCCTTGATGGCCTTGGATGGGTGCGTGCTTGATTGTTTATGAGCCCGGAGTTACGGCTACGGCGTTTGGGGCATTGCATGATCTATGTAGATTGGTATGATATGGCATTCTTAGTGTATCAACACAACTTGAACATTGCTCTTTCGTCATCGCGTGAACCTATCGCCGAAAGTCTTGCATCAATCGCCCCGAGTGATGCAATTGGTGTATTGAGATGGGCTGCTTACTCTCTTCCGAAAAAGCGATTAAGCATAAGCCATAGCGCCACACCGGAATTGGGGTTGGCTTTTTAATGGTTGAATTGGCTGTTAACGCCGAAATGTGGCGACGCTAACAATCGGCGATAGTTGGGACATGGGCAGTCGGTGATAGAATGATGGTGTTGAGGACTTTGGGTCGGAGATAATGTCATCAAATGAATTGAAGAGATGTTTGAGGCTGAAAAGGTATATAAAGGAGTTGGACTTTCCTTTGAGGATTGATTCAACATCAATCATCACTTGTCTTACAAGCTTCGCCACAAACCATTCACCATTCGCACTTATACTAAAGCCACTTAAACACACAATCCCACAACCTCAACATGTCTTCTCCAGTCTGGTTCATCACCGCCGCCTCCTCAGGCTTCGGCCATGATATCGCCCTTCACGCGCTCAACCTCGGGCACACCGTCATCGCTACAGCAAGGAGTACATCACGCGTCCAAGACCTCGCCGACGCAGGTGCACACACGCTAGCATTCGACGTGACATCCCCCCTCTCAGACCTCGAAGCCATCGCCAAAGAAGTCTTTTCCAAGCATGGCCGCGTCGACTACCTCATCAACGCTGCGGGATACATCCTCGACGGCGCCGTAGAGGAAGTGTCCCAGCAGGAGCTGTACGACAGCTTCAACACCAATGTCTTTGGGATCTTCAACACCATCAAGGCTTTTCTACCGGGAATGCGAGAGCAGAGTATCGGTCAGAATGGAAGACGCGGCACGATTGCTACTTTTGGAAGTATTGGTTCCTGGAGAGGTGGGGCGACATACTCTGTCTACTCCATGGCGAAGACGTGCGTGTCCTCCCTCGCCGAGTCTCTCCGCTACGAGCTCGAGCCCTTCAACATAGTCGCCACAGTTGTTGAACCAGGTTATTTCCGCACTAGCTTCTTAAACCCCGGTGTGAGGGCCGTTACGAAGAAGAGGATGGACGTTTATGAAGATGAGAGCACGCCCACGGGAAAGACGAGAAAGGCCCTGGAGAAAACGGATAATAACCAACCTGGTGATGTTAAGAAGGGTACCAAGGTCATTGTTGAGATCCTGACGGGGACGGGGGTTGGAGAGGGGAGGGATGTTCCGGTTCGGATTGTGTTGGGGAGTGATGCGGATGTTTATATTAGGAGTAAGTGTGAGGAGACGTTGGAGTTGTTGAATGAGTGGAAGGATGTTACTGTCAGTACTGATCATGAGAAGTAAGGATGACGATGAAAGTATACTTCCTTAGGTAAACTTAGGATAATATTGATGACCTTTAGAGTATCTACTCACATTTAGGCACTAAATTTAGGGTTAGAAGTCTTCTTGCTCCATAAGCAATTACATTCATATCCCCTAATTATTTACACCTACGAGTTTCTTCCGTCTTCGTCGCCAATAGGCCCCTGGACTTTAATGACACAAGCCCCAGTAAGCTCCTGAGCAGTTGAACGCTGGTGATAGTAATAGTTAGGCTTGTTGGTGATCGTTCCCATGTGGTCTCCGTGCTTGGTAAGCTCCCTGGGAAGTTTTCTTGTATGGCAATTTTAGATGAGCTCTCGCCACTCCGAATGGTCAGACCACGAGCTGGAGACCTTGAGGGCCCATTGCTTCGAACGTCAGGGTCCTCGCAACAGAATATATATCGTTCTATCAACCTCTCCGACCGATTTCAGCAGGACCAAGGGCATGTACTATTTCACTCCAAGCCTAAACTTGGCCGAGAGATATGCTGCTTGGGCAAAGTGACGAGAAGGTGTGACATCTGCAGTCATAGCCCGGATCGCCATTTGGAACAGCGCCATCGAAGAGGCCATCGAGCCGTGTTTGAGGTATTACTTTGTACAGCACAGGAATCTTGTGATGCTTGATGGGCCTACGAGTGTGTTTATACCTCTAGAGGCTAAGCCATTGCATTCGGTGTTAGTATATTGCATACCTCCGAGGCGGAGGCAGAAGACTTCAGACGCAAGTCTAAAGTAATCAAAGAAGTGGATAGTATTATCATAAATTAGAACAGTTTAGGATAAGCTTCCCTAAGGTTTCGACTCTTCTAATCTCGAATTTTGGGGCCGGGCAGAATTCCTCCGATGCCATCGGGCTTTCTCACGCTCAGCAGAAGCTTTCTGCATCTCATTCAGCGCCTCATAACGCAGTTTCATGGTATCCCGAAGCCAGCCAATGCAGGTACCGGTTAACCGCATGTCCTTGAAACGAGGATCCATGATGCTATGCTGGAGCTCAGTTGCGATACCGCGCTGCTCCATGTGACGGAACCAGGCGGAACTATCGTCCTCCCAGACATCATAGTTCATGGGACGCCCAGTATGACTCATCACCCAGTCGATGAACGAGACCTCAGGAGTGGTCTCACCATTAAGGTCAATCTCGCGTTTGATGGGACCAGACGGCTTGGCATCCCAACCGCTCCAGATCTCAGTCGCTTTGTCACTGCTGAAACCGACATACTCAATAGTCGCTTTCGAAATGAGCTTCTCCGGGATAGTCGCAAATGCGTCAGGGCAAGATTCGATATTGGCGTTGAGAGGAGTATGCTTGGTCTCTTCATCGCTCGAGCGATTTAGACGCCGTTTGTCATCCTGTATAGAACCATTCCGGGGAGTGGGAGGATTCAAAAGGCCAAGGTTGATAAGTCGTGCTGCATCTCCAGGCGCGAGGATCTCCCCGAGGGAGCTGTTGCATTTGCGGGTCATGGCCTGATTCGTTAGGAAGGGCTGACAATATTGAGGGACAAGGTTCCAGAGGTCGGGGAAGGCTGCCTTATATATGAAGGATGAAGTAGACCACTTGAGTAACCTCATTCGGTCAACATCTAAGTTAAGCTGCTCTTTGACTTTGGTGTACTGAAGAGACTTTGGTCTGCATATGTGCTATTCGTAGTTGAGATCTGTGGCTGAGAGCCCATGATTACTCCACAGAACCTAGAGTACTAGATGAGGTAATTGGAGCTTATCCTCGTGTCATCTGATTACAGAAGTATATCCATACTTGCCGGCGTCTAAGTTCTGTGTGCTGATCATATTTCTCAGCCACAGGTCTCAACAGCGAGGTTTTGAGTCACATCTCATTTTTGACTAAGCCACTCAACTTTATGTGGTATCGGGAAAGTCTACCTCATTCAAGTGCCTTTAAATACCATGATAATGGCTTTTTAGGTAGATCGAAACCCTGGAATACGGAGCTTCGTTCTGATCTGCTCACGAGAAACGAAGCTAGGTGTTCCCCAGATTACCAGCCCGAACGATCCGTCTGTGGTGTTCACGATGACGTTTCTGGGAAATATCTAGGTCTCGATGACAGGACAGAAACTCTGTGCAAATCATGCCCAGTTCTTCACAGTTTCTCAGCATGTCGCGTGACTACAGTCGTCCGACAACACGCTCCACGTAGCGTCAGATAAGTGTTTGCCTCAACACCACAAACGTGATTAGCACGCCACTTTGCTAGTTTTTCGCAGAGCTCCGCAAGTCTGGAGGCTTATAACTGTTTTGTTGTGAAGTAAATGTACTCTTTGCAGCTGAGATCTGTGGCTGAGAGCTTCAATCAGGACTTACTTCTGAAGGAGATAAAGAATTGAGGATATTATTTCACCGCTATTGGGATCTGAGGGTGATTTGAAAAATTAATAAAAAGACCACTATCTGCTTTGTATAAACGGTTCCAAATTGACATGCCTATCACTGACCAGTGTTCTCCTTTGTAGGTCTTCCTGGCTTCCCTTTCGGATGACTATCTAAATGACTTTGTTGTTCGGTAAGATCGTAAGTGGCATAACCACATTTGCATGTGTATGGCTGTTCACTACTGCATTTATCTTTGCTTATATGATTCCGGTAAGTGTCTATTCTCCCATTAGAATATCCACACCGGCAGACATAAAAGGCACCAGAATGTTTGGTGTATAGATGCCGCCTCAGGGTCCTTTCGTCCTTGAAGAACACACCCTTGCAAGCTTCTTCCGTGCAATGGAGAATTTTAGGTTTAGGAAAGCAAGAAATAGAACAAGACATGTTGTGGTACCGAGCTGGTTGCGAAGAGGCAGCATTATGCCCCGGTGAGACCGATAATGAGCGTTGTAGTGGTTCTGAACGTTGCCGGCGTGGAAGAGACTCATGTGTCTCTCCCTCGCGGGACCTTTGGTGAAGAGAAAATGGTTCGGGTTGTGCCTGTAAAACACCGTCCGGATTCCGGGGACTAACTGCATCCAATGGCTCAATGCAAAGTGGTTGCGGGTCGTCGTATGGATCCTGAGGGGGGTTGAAATGAAAAGAAAAAGAGCCGCAAAGGTCATGAGGATCGATCGTCTGCTGTAAATCACTACAGACACTACAGAGTGATGAGTCGCCATGAGGTTCCTGAGGGGCGTTGACAAATGATTGAACCCATTCCGGATAGACAGCAGCATCTAGCGCTGTCTCGTCATATTCAATACCGGAAAATATTGAGTATTCTCGTCGGTATTCTTTGTAATTCAAACTGGATCATGTGTGGCATTTGCAGCATATCCACACATGCACATCTTGATGCGCCGCCGATATTTGAAGTTGCGCATCGCCATGACGACCACGTGGCTCAACACCTTAGTTGCGGAAAGGGCTCGACTTGTTGGGGGTTTGCTTGCAAATGTAATGTAATTTCCTTCCTCGGGCTGGAGGATGGAGGATTGTAGTAGCGTATTGATGAATGCAGGAGGTGGGTTGGTGGTTGTCTGAGGATCACAATTGCTTTCGAGGCGGCGAGGGAAGGGTTCTTATGCTAAGTTCATGGACTGTAGCAGGGGAAATGTACCGAGCTTTGAGCACACCGCCAGCGACATAGGGAGAGTTTCTGATTTGTTGGTGAGCCAGGACTTGTCTGACCGGCTGCAGAATGGCTTGAAAAGCTGCATGAAGGCCATTTATTTGATTGGTTCAATCTGAAAAGCAGGTTGTGTATGCACATGGCCAAGACTTGAGTCCTTTCAGCGATGACCCAATCAGATAAATGGCCCTTTATCTTCCATAAGTAGACATTATGGGTCTAAAAGAACATTTGGGATATTAGATTAGACAGTGTTGTGCTTGTAAGAGGGGTTTCCTGTCAGCGCCACTCAGCATATAACAGGCTTACAGCCAGCCTCACTTTCAACCTGTTACGGCGGAAATCAACTCAGTCGCAAATGCTGATCTCATGGAAGTAATGGAGGTGAGATAATAAGCTTCGTTTAGCGTTCAGGCTGACGTTGCCAGCAATATCAACCGACAGCCACTGGCACAACACGCCATGCACTACAGTTGGCCGACGAAGCCCTTGATAGTACAGTTGTTAATCTGGACCTGATCGGCCAGAACATGGACGAACTTCCCATAAGGATTGGAGAATTGATAAGAAGAGAAAGACATGCCGACGTTTATTCGATCTATAGGAGATATCGCACCACAGACATGACAACAGAAGCACGGGCTTTCATTATCCACGGTGTTTCTGGAAAACTGAAACGGCATCGGAAGCGATGCATACAACGTCTAGGACCCAGAACGCTATTCAATGTGTCATACCGCGGAGCAGAAGTTATCGTATATACAGTCAACTGCAATGACTGGCTCGTCACCACTGGGGAAGAAGAGAGGGACTCGAATGAAACACGCCCGAGAATACTAGGTAGGTCTGAGGGCAAGAGAAATAGTGACCCAGAAAAGACACTAACTGAGAAACAGTTCCGATGAAAAAGTCCAGCTATAAACAGGAGGCAGCACGGATGCGACAGCGGGAACGACGCCGAGAGAAAGCGGACCAAGAAAATTGCTCAAGTTCTCAAGATGCGGAGCTCATCAAAGATGATTCATCACTGAGCGAAGACGTCGCGGATACCTTCAGAGCCGCCATCATGTTGTATATTTTCTTTGACAAAAAAGGCCACGAACGCCCAGTCAAGCCACTATACGTTCCCGCAAGCTGCAGGAGGTCAATCAAGCTCGTGAATTTGTATTCCCTGCTAGTCCTCAACGGGTCACCGCCGTCCAAATTTAGAGAATCACCACGAGGTCCCAACGAAGAGAAATGGTTTCGGCATGAAACACTCCAGCATCTCAAAGACCTAGAAAGGCAATGGTCCGACATGAGCTATCGGCAGCTTTTCACAGGAGTTCACTCTGTTCTCTTAACACTCTCTTCATATGACTTACGGTCTGTTCCAAGCAGTAATCATCGCTTTGATCTTCTTCAACATATTCAAACAACTCTACCCATACTTATCGACAGCTTCCAAGGCATGAAACAAAGACGGGCGCCAAGTGAGTCTCGGGAAGTTTTACTTTTGAATTGATACTCAAACAGGCTGTCTGGGATAAAGCATAACTCTTGGTATGGCAGAAATGATCTGGGATGTTTGGACTTGTCAGTGTGCAAATGAAAAGAACAAGGCAACCATTGTTATTTGTATTTCATGTCATCATATATCATGCTCCCCCGCGTACCCAACTGTCTCGTATACAGAGTTGTTACTAGCGACCCGCGCTAATTAGCTGTCTTCACCCCTTTCACTGTCGACCATAACCCAGCTTTGCAGCCAACCATCATTTCCCCTTATCGCAATCTGTAAAAATAAAACAAAAGAACGCTCGAGGGTTATGTTGAATTCCCTCTGTCCCGGCTCCGACAGGGCTCCAGTTGAGAAGGGCCTTCTGTTGGTAAAAGATGTAGTAGGTAGTAGAACAGCTGCTGGGAATGGAGCCGGGACAAAATGTACATAGATAGACTAAGGAAAGAAACCCAGTAGTAAGGAAAAGCCCAGACAAAGGAAAGAAATACAGGATCATCAAGCGAGTTCGCAAGGACTGACGGAGCATCTGACAGACGTTAATGGATAACTCAAAACTTAGGGACGTGGTACAAAAGAACTCAAGCGCTCAAGTATCTGACTGTATCAAAGGACAAGCCGCATTAGCTGTGAAGCTGACGGTAGCCGTGAAGATACAGAAAGCTACGCAAGACCTCTTTCTCTTGAAGCCTGCGCTGGCGACATTGCCTTCTATGTACCACAAAGTAAACGTTTTGGTGTCTCCCAGCGTAGTGAAGGGGCCCTAAAAGTCAAATCCTCTCACTGGCCCTCATTGGGTATTTTCGTGGTCTTCCTCTCCTCTTTTTACCACATCTTTCAACGTGGTGTTTGTGCAACTTGAGCTGATCAAATGAATGACCACAAGAGCAACTATAAAGGCCGTGGCCAGTACAGTTGTTACTCTCAATATGTTTGCAATGCTTATCTTTTCTCCCGTCGTGCCTGCCGCAGCGACAAACGTAAACGGAACCAAGATGAAACTCTGTCAAATGTCGCTTCAAAGACCTGCCGTCCTTGAAAGTCTTGTTGCAGCATTTCCTGCCACAATGAAATGGACTTGAAGCCACATGAGATGAGATAAGGTGAGAGCTATTGCCTGTGAGACGAGTGAAGAAATGACGATAGGGGGGCTTACCAAAGAGAATCTACATCCTCAAAAGCCTGCCCACAAAAGTCGCAGATGAGCCGCGCGTCTTTGGAGACAGGACTAGACGTGGATGATTGAGATGATCTCTTCTCATACCCACTAGAGGATTGCGAGTGGGACGTAGGAGCATTGCTACTCGGAGAGGTGTTGCACAAGGGAGGGGATAGGTCTGGCTGATGCCAGGGGACCGAATGAAGGGCATTGAGGGAATCCAGGTGTTTCTGAGGCTCAAGTGAGGCTTCTTGCATAGCGTTGAGAGTGGTTAATGGTTCAGTGACAAGTGCTAGTTGACTGTTGGTCGTTTCTTGGTGTTGAGTAGCCAAGGAGCCAAGGTCTGCGTCGAGCGCTTCGCCGCACGGCCCGTGGTAATAATTGAAGTCAAACAAGCTGTCAAACTCATGGCTCTCAATACTAGGCAAGAGCCAGTGATCGATGTCCCATCCGAAGTTGAGTTGCCATTGCGCGTCGTCGATGTCGCTCGTCCAAGGTTCTAAGTGATGATCATCGTGGTCCTCCTGAATGGGATAAGCGCCAAGGCTGTGCTTGGCGCTGACCCTCAAACAAGATGGACCTCAGCTGCCAGAAGTAGTCGAGCCCTGTTGGACTGAGCAGTATAGAATCGCCAAGTGTCGAGCCAGAGGGTTTCCCTCGGCGATGAAAGATGTGATGAGGAGAAAAGTCCTGGGACTGGATAAATGGGCGAGAACTTGGTTGAAGTATGATCAGCTCCGACCCCCTCTTACGTGGCTAACACTCAGGGCCAATTCTGTGATTCGCTGAACCTGAGCGGTACGTAGATCTTACGTGCGGCTGAAGCTGTCGAGGCTTACATGGGGTGAAACTAGTTGATCGGATAGTTGAATAAGGGCCAATTATCTCATTCGTCAGCTAATGGGCATAAGACTTGCAAGATGTAGATACTGAAGGATCCTTGATCACCCCCTTTTCGCACGAGCCTCATGAGCTCACCAATCAGAATTTTGGCCCTGGAACAGCCTTGCCATGTTCAACGAGTCTCAGATGGCGCTGTCATTGCTCATTTAGTTCACGAATCCGAAAAACGGCCCCGATGGAGTCGTAAATGGTTAGACCAATTGCGAAACTGGCCTTGATGTCTGTACCACCAAGGAATACACATATGTGAGACAACTAAAAGGAGCTACAGAGAAACATCCAATACGGAAAATGGCCCATATCGAAGCACGAATGAAACGATGATAGCTTTTGCATACCAGCTAACTTTCAGCAAACAAGGCACATTATATAGTCCATAGATATATAAGACAGCGTCCATGACAAGACAGAACCTTTTATTGTGCTTTCTAGTGTCACAAGGACCATCTAACCTCTTTCCTGACTCAAACTATCACTTCCTACTAGACCTGTCGTCCCTTTTCCAACAATGCCTTCAGAAATGACTTCGTCGCAGAGCAATGCCACTACTACAAAGAAAGGAATCTGCCCAAGCGCACCGCACGGCCCCAAGACCCATGGAAGTAAAGAACGAGGTGAGCCCTGTCCGATATGACAATGAGATATCAAGTCTAACATCGATCTGGACTATATTTCACCAATGTTTGAATGGCTGCGCCAGAGTGACGAAGATGAGCCGTGGAGGGGCTTCACGGCCGTTGCCACAGATCAACAGAGTCGTGCATACTCAGCTCAGAATCTTTCTCAGACTTGGAGTACACAAGCAGAGGCTGGGTCACAAGAAGAGTCATCCACAGAAGAAATGCGACAACAGAGGATTTGAGGGCACTGCAGGCCATGATAGAGCATCACTGAAATCGTGGGTAAGGTTGGAGGGTAAATACTTGAAATCAAATCTACTTTATTGCTGTCTTTTAACTAAAAAGCCCAGGCTGCCATTTATTTCGCAGCAGCGTAGATGATATAAAACAGGTTGCCCTATCGTTGAAACCCAGGCACACTCATCTTCGGAAGGGAATAGGCTCTAGATAGCCATATATTTGTCTCAAGCTGGAAGCCAGTGCATGAACTTGCTCAAACCGCAGCAACACAGGCATAAGTGCCCTTCCACAGAGTTTTGCAATCTTCACCAACAGCAGGATTCCACTGCGCAAACTGGGCCATTGTGATCTTGTAGTGGCGCAAAACCTCCTTACATGTAGTCCCGGCGCCGATGTAGTGGAACTTGACACAGTTTTTAACCAAACCCGCCTTTACAGGTGAAGGCGTCGCAGATTGATCGTCGGCTACTGGGTTGGGCTTGATGTCTCTCGATGCAGATGAAGTGTAGCCTTTGACACGGACGCATGCGTTGGTCCCTGCCCACATGTTGGTACAGTCCTCTCCAACGGCAGGATTCCACTTGATGAAGTCGGCAAGGGATATCTTGTAATGATCGAGGACGCCTTGGCATGTGGTTGTAGATTCAATGTAATGGAATTTGTTGCAGTTGGCTACCATGCCTTGTTGAATGGGTTTTGGGGTTTGGATGCCGTTTCCACAGCACTCATCCACAGGAGAGGGCTTTTGAGGAACAGTTGGCTCTGCAGAAGACTCGTCGTCCGGATCGGGGATCGAAAAGGACTCTACATCAAAAGGGGCGTCAGGCATCTCGCCGTATGATGGCTCAGTTGGCTCAGTAACAGACGTAGGCTTTGCCGTCTTGGATTCAACGCCGGCTGGTTCATCTTTGTCGGCAGTCCCTTTGACACAGTAACTACCAACTGGATCAAGGTCAGGACACTGGACGCCGGGATTCAGCGCCTTGAACTCATTCAAAGTCATGTTCCAATCTTCGGCGAAGATCGCACATGTCTGACCAGGTAGAGGATTAGTTTCATTCTCGCACTTTACATCTCGGCGATGAGGCGTTGCAAGAGCGTAAGGTAGTTGGATGGCGAGGCTCGCGGCCATGAATGTGACGAGATGCATGTTGTTAACTTGGAAGATGGATGGGAAAAAAGATGGAGGAACGAGCGTACATATTGGTTTTTAAAAACACGTTTACTGATCTGGCTGGCCTTCTTATACTTTTCAACCCCCGCAGCAAAGAGTCATACTCTGAGTTTCATAATGGGTATTTATACTGCAGGCATTGGTCACGCCTTGTGACAGAATGTCTAAATAGTGAACCGGATGTGTTATTTGTTGTTGATGCCCATGGCTGAGAGCTTACGATCAGGACGCAGAACTTAGCTTCATTCCCCGCACTCCGCAGCATGCACTCAAACTCGTCATGATGTACCTTAAGTCTTGCCACTCTGTGTCCGTTGGCGATACAGACTCTCCTAGGTGATCATCGTGGTAGAATTAAGTTCTTTCTTAAGGTTATTGGTTCTAATGTCAACTTACTAAAGGGTTCAACCAACAGGGATCCGGAAGGCTATTCGTCAGGCCAGAGTCCTTTCTGTCCCGGGCCGAAGAGGAGTTGCTAGGTTTGACCTGAGTAAGATGATGGTAGGCGTGGCACTGATACCGAGTCAGCTTCTGGGTATTGCAGTCTCGAAGTGGATGCATACAATGCCTCGCAAACGATGTCTATCATTTTCTTTGACCCAAATACCAAGCTTATATCCCTCCTTTAAAAGCCTATTGTTTATTGGATTTAGGGTTATAATAATGCGGCAAAATTTAACTGCTTATATCTAAAAGAGAGTTTGGTAATGCCGATTGGAAGGGCGATATACCTAGCATTTGTGTTGTAAGACGTGGGATACCTTGGATGGTCTTGAATCCTTTTCTCCCCCATGGGCCTCAATTCGGTAAAGGATAGCCCGTGACAATCGGGAGTGCTGAATCGGTCGTCCGCTCCCGAGTGTTTCCGTCTGATTGATCAACTGACATTTTTCACTACTAAGAATCCCGATGCTGATTGAGGTAAATACTGGGCTTTTATGACTCTGAAGGACGCGCTGACTTAAACAATGGGTATATTGTGGAGCCTGGCGCATATTGATCCCAATCTGGCAAAAACTGTCACCTTTCGGGATTCGTTATGACGCCGACGGGATTTCCGGGCTGTCAGCATAACGTTTAAGCATGGCAAATAAGAATTATCAATTCAAGGCATTAGAAATACATTCTTTGGATATAAATGATGATAGAGGTCGTAATTAGTAGTGTATTCAGTATTTAATTCACATTTAGAAATCATATTTGTTATCATACAAAACCAGCAATACTTTCTCAATATGTCCGAGTACGGCTCTTCCCAATTTCTCTCCCGCGGACTAAAGATCTTCGCCGTCTTCTCCATGTTCACTGGAACTGTCGATTTGATTACCGGACATAAACTCGTCATACCCGAATCAGAGCGAGCTCTCCTCCCCACCCCAACCCTTGCCTTCGTGGACAACCAGCTTCGCTTCTTGGGAGCAATCTGGAGTGGATATGGAATGATTCTCTGGTGGGCTAGTAGCAATCTCCAAGCGAGGAAGATTCCCCTTTCTTTGCTCGGAACTGCCATGTTCTTGGCTGGTATTGGTCGCTTGACTTCAGGGCTGAGTCTAGGCTGGACTCCTTCGTGGCTCAAGATTGCTGCTACTGTGGAGCTCGTCATCCCTCCTTTGATCTACCTTTTCGGATTTTAAACGTGTGAAAAGAGTCCTTATGGATACGTTGGTCTCGATGTTTGTTCAAGGTCAATCAGCCAATCGTTGATCGATAGTAGAGACTGAGAGTGACCAAAGTATAGGCATTGGCACGGGGAAGTTGAAGAATGAGAAGCCGATCTTCATTTTACACATTCAGCACGATTGCCACGGCTGCTGCTGTTATACGACTACGGAAATTACATGAAAAGGTTCAATAGGGCCAAGAACTCCATCTCAACTTAGAGAGAAACTTGTATATTAAAGCATAAAATAACTACTTTGTCTCAACTTTCCCTTGCTATAGGTATGATTTGAACGGTTCTGAACTGAACACGTCAGATAGCAAGGCGAATTCATTGATTTTGTTGCTCAGCGTTGGCGAGATGCTACAGTTGGAAAAGTTAAACATGTAAAAATACAATATAGATAAAACAAGCCTTGGATAAAGTCTTTATAAAATGGTAAATGTACAAAATTTATCTTCCTGATCTCCGAAAGGCATAATAGGTAGGTAACAGAAAGTTAATAGCGAGTCTTTCTTCCAGCTTATTTGAGAGGACTGCTCTTGCGGTAGTCACAATCTGCCCTGTCAAAGGGGCTTCCACAGCCAGTTTCGTCATCATGCTCAACAAACACAGCAGGCAAGTTGAAGAAGCATCGGGGGATCTCTCCCTGAACAAGGTTGCTAGTGTCAACTTCATCACTGTCGCCCTTGTTCAAAGCACAGTCAATCAAAGCCTTGTAGTAAGGCTCGCGATCACCCAGACCGAAGGAAGCCATCTTCTCGTAGATGTCAGCGCCAACCTCGGTCCACTCTCCCTCGCGATTAGGGTTGGGATCGTTTCGCATGATGTACCAGCAGTACTCCTCGCCATCACGGAGCGGCAGCCACTGTCGACCAGTGGAAAAACCGCAATCCTCACGGGAATCCTTACCGCCGAGCTTATCGGCGACAAGGTGGAGCTTGGAGGCCTTCATGACGTCGTTGGCGACCTTCTTCTGGATGTTGTTGGTGATGGAACCTAGCGTGACGCGCACGGTCTCAACGTCATCGTCGAGAAGGAACCAGCCGCCGTTGAAGAACTTGGCAATCTTGGTCTCGTATGTGTCCCACTTGGGAGCGGGGAGAGAGTTATACTCGTCGTCGTTTCTGCCGCCTCCGGTAGCGATTCGGAGGGTGTCCTCGAGCTTGACTGAGGCGGACTTGAATAGGTCGGCAAGGCCGTCTGATATAGTAGCGGCACCATCATCCTCATCGTCGCCCAAGGAGAGACCGGACATAATACCTGCCAGAATACCCATACCGGCAGAAATACCGGAGCCCTATATTAGTGATGGTCAGCAAAGGAAAAATCGGGACTGGAGACAAAGTAACATACCACTCCAGGAACGAGGCCACCAAGGGCATTACCCATAGTTGCAGCCGCCGAGAGCCAGCCTTTCATATTACCTCCTCCATTTTCGTTTCCGCTAAAGTCCTTGAGCATCTGCCCGATCTTGAGGCCGTTGACGAGAGTCTCAGTCGTCAACTGGCGGTGCAGCTCGGCGAACTTGCCATGCATACCCTTGACAGCCTGGAAGGTCCAGTACGAGTTCTTGCCTACAAATGTCTTGCCGTACTTGTCGAACTGCTCCTCGCAGCCGATGCCGCCCATGGGGTTGCAGCTGGTGCCGATGAGAGCGCAGCCACTGGCACCAGACTTGCCATCAGTGCCCTCCATGACCTGATCCTCAAGATTTTTGAGCCAGTTGTTCTGGTGCTCTGTGGACATAGTGATAAGCATTCTATTTAATGCTTAGGTTTGGTGAGAGTAAGCTACTTACCCCAGTGGCTTTTGATGAACAGTTCAAGTGATACACCAGCGGCTGTGTCTTCCCACAGCTTGTCAACACCCTCGACGGTCTTCAGGTCCCATCCCTTGCAGAACTTTTGCTTGTCGTTGAAGATGTCGTTCGCATCGTCACGTTTGGAGAACAAGGGTGAAGCTTCTGTCGCGGCGGCTAGAGCCAAAAGAGCGGTGGTGGTCTTCATGGTGAAGATGTTCTGCGAGAGATGGATCGAAATGTGAGGAGGTAAAGCGAACTGAGCCGATGAAGACTTGCCTCTTTAAGCTTTCAAATGCGCGAGAGGGCACATATATATCCTACATATTTCATGGTCCAGCCTTTCCGGTACCATGTTATGCTTGGCAGCTGACATGAACCTTTGGCGAGATGAGGCTTGGCATCGCAACACCCTTGGAGTTCTTATGTATACTACGGAGACCTGTGATGCATTAAAGATTACAAAGGATTCCTGGCCCAAGCTTACAGCCACTGTGATGATCCGATTGATCCTGGCGCGTAAGGCTATAAGGCGGCTGTTGAGGTGGGGGACTTTTATGGAGATGGCGTGGCTATCACAATTAACGGGCCAGGGACCAGGCCAGGATTTGGATCCATAACCAGGTACATGCTCTCAGAATTCAAGGACTTCTGTTTCTTACAGGAGCTACTCTACTGAGGTGTAGGAAGCATTCAGTATAAGGGGAAGTGGAGTCGTAACTAGACATGCCATCACAACCGAGGCCGTGGCTGGAAGGAGAATCACATAATATTGCTTCGTCAAAGTTAAAGCTAGAAATAAGTATAAATATCCGTAGCTATTGTGTAGACAAGTAACGGCGGCTAAGTATAACTTGTCGTAATTAGCAACCCCCAAATTGTCCAGGAGTAGTCGGCGTAACTGATATTCCCGTACATCCGTTCAGCGCGCTTTATAAATGGATCCTCGGATAAGTCGGGTTGCATCCTACAAGGCTGAGTTGGTGATTGAAAAGTGCCGCATAGCAAGGATTAGTAACTTCCCGGCAGGGCGTGAAACAATTCTCATTAACCGGATCCTCGATTGTTATTTCCATCGCAACAGAGTCATGGGGGAGCCACTCCCCCAGATCATGACTCGCCAGCTCGCCAATGATGCCTGGTCATGGTGGGGTCCGGCAGATGTATGTCAGACGGAACCCCCTGGCATTTCACAAAAGCCCGAACTTGTGACGTTCGAGGTAGCAGTAAGTCTTACGCCAAGCCAATCCTTCACCCTTCAATTTATTAATAATAAAGCAAACTGCATGAGATTGTTAATAGAAACCAGCTGCATGCTCAGCCTCACTTGATGCACGGTTGACCTTTGTCTTTGCATCGATTCTAAGTTGTCAAGATTCTAGATACATCTATTCTAGCCTAATAATGGGAATAATTGTGTAGAGAAGTCTCACACTGATTTGATAGGCTTGAGAAAGTTAGGTAAGCTTGTCTGTCAATGACCCGATTCCAGACTTTTCTAGTTCGGGTTGGGCCAAAGAGAACCACCATTATTTCCGTACTGACACTGCCTGTGATCACTACCTTGACAACCACTGTCACACCCCAAATTTCCCTGGTTGACGCCATTGTTGTTACCGATCTGATTGACGTTGGCATACGCATAATTATGGTCGTAATAGGTATCAGAGGCACCTTGACCCTGACCAGCGGGACAGTGCGTGTGAGTTTGATAGTTCGCGTATCCATTGTGATAAGACATCAAGGGCTGGTACCAGATAGAATGGCACCCTGACTGAACATTGTTCCACTGGCATGTTCGCGTATCAGTCAAAGTATGCGTCTCGCCCCAGGAGAACTCGAAAGATGCTTCAATGACTTCGCCAAACTTGGCGCTCAAGCCAACAGTCCAGGTTTGAGAAACCGAGAAACCAACTGCAATAGCCTCGGTACACTGATTGCAGTAGAAGCAGCTTCCAACTTGGTGCCAGGCCTGGTACCAGTATCCCCAGTCATTCTGATCCCACCACCGCTGGGTCTCGCTCCTGCAGATTCGAGGGGCAGACTCTCTCTTCGTGAGGTCGTTGATGAATGCGGCAGACCCATCGCGGACGGTGTGCCCAGGCTTGTGCTCGACGCTCTTGACTTTGTTCTGACGACGGATATCTTTCAGTTGCTCGCGGGTGTATTTGTTGCGATGGACCTCGACGGTTCCATCAGGGTGAACAATCTCCGTGATGACATCGGAAGATGGTCCGCGGATCTTGAGGCAGATCGGGTCCGTAGTACCTTCATGGCACTGGATGAATGTAGCGTTCTCTGGAGGCTCGGTGTTGTCCAGCCTGATAGCGAGGGGCGTGGCATAGCCGACTGCTACAAAGGATAGAACAAGAGTATTGAGGAAAAGCATGATTGTTGATAGTGGCGGGTTCAAGCAGATGCTGTTTCTTGAGGATGAACTTGAAAGTCTGATTCTTTACATAAATTGACATTCCCTATATATACTAATGTTAGGCATCGATTCAAGCTTTATCGAACCTGGCTTTGAAGCTGACCACGATATTATCAACACCTCTCTTCGCCTTCCATACTACATAAGATGCCGCATATCCGTGAAGTAGATATAGAAATAATATTCAAAATGCCGTGTATCCGTAAGATAGAGCCATTACATGACTTCATAATTCAGCCGCGGCGGCCGACGCCAAAGGGACTTGCTTGTTTGGGTGATTTAAAGCCTTACAAAGCAGATTATCTTCAGCTGACAGGTGTTCTAGAATCAATCGAATAAGCGGCCCGCTCGCGGGTATTGGGGGCTGCATAATAAGTGGATAATGTTTTCGTATTCAGAAGCCTCGAGGAGCAAGAAAACATCAGCCCTCGATATGAGATGTCAAAATAAACTCGGTAAAAGCTATTCTAAGCCTATACTAGACTTATCCTAAACTTATGCTGAGTTACCTAAATATTTTTGTCACTTAGGACCAAGGTCATGTGTTTTCTTTCCTGCCCCTGGGAGGGTATCGTTGTGGCTCTTGGTGCTGGAAATGGAAGGTGTTGTTCACAGAAGATACTACTTATTAGCTCCGGAATCAAGCCAATAACACTCATCGTAAGCCAAAGATATGAAAAAGCCTCATAAATCGGTATCTACATTGAAATTTCACTGTTCAGCTGTTGCTCGCAGAATTTCTTCAACTCCTCCCATCCCTCCTTTTCATCGCCGTCAAAACTGACTAGACCATCGATTTCTTGTAGAAGTTTGCCCCCGTTGGTCTTTTCAAGGCCCTGGAGGCTCAATCTAGCGCCTTCGTCTGAATCCGTCTGCATGTCTATGATAAGCCGAGTCAAAGACAGCGACGCCTTTTGCCGAATATTCCTGTCATACGCAAAGTAATCACTTCTAAATGGCTGTACGATAGCGTGATAAAGTAAGGGGTATGTGGTCTGAAGAAGCTTTCCATCCTTTTGACAACTAAATAGGTGACTGTTCTTTAGACGGCGCGTAGGTTGGCAATCTCTTAGCAATGCAAGATTTGGATGACGAAAGAGTAAGCTCTTCAAAGATATCTTACTCTCCAAGACGAAACGGACGACGTTGTCCATGCCCATCTCGATGGCAAGAGTGAAAGCCAACGAGAAGTCGTTGCAGTATCTGCGGCACTTCTGGTCATGCTGTAAGTAACGTGGAGCTCCCAGCCATGGTGAAAGACTCAATTGTCCGAATACGAATTGGAGCCTTGACAGGAGATGTAGTGTAACTGCAGGTGAGTGACCCTCTGCATCTCTGAGAACCAGAGGATATAACGCATTGAAGAAGATATCGTCAGAATCCGAGGGTGTAGTGGCCATTCGACACCAAATCTCGGACAAGACTGCATAGCTATCAAAGTTTTCGCGTTCAAGGTCTCCGAACAGGCGAATAGAGATTTCTGGCTGCAATAACATGTCGTAAACAGTTCTATGCATAAACTTGATAATACAATCTTCAATATTGGTCTCGTCGCGGTGGCCGTAGTGGACTTCAAGCAGGCCGCAGCATCGGCCTCTGAGTCGGCCCTCCATCACCCGGCATTGGGCTTCCATTTCTGACAAAGTGATCTTTTCAGGACTTATTCCTGATAGGCTTGGATCCCCTTTGAGTCCCTTTTCGTGTGTCAAATATAGGCCAAGTGTCGGAATGGGGTCAAATCCTTGGCAACCTTCATTTGTGTAGATGAGATGTATGAGCCTCATAGCGTCTTGCTTCCATCTTGGATCGATATTCTCAAGCATATGCTCAATGAGGTCCTCGAGTTCCTTGGGTAATTCGTCAACTCTTGCCTCGAGCTCAGTTATGGTACAAAAGTCATCACACCCTTCGACAACAGCTCGGCAAGAAAGAATAACCCAAAGAAAGACACCAGATGCCTTCTGTACAAGCTTTTGAGTGATTCTGTCGACTTGATACTGCGATTGATGAGATAATGATCTCATATATGGATGGGAAGCCACGGTATCTTGGATGTACGTAGCGACATCGCGCTTTGTCAAGTCCTGTAGGTTCATCTTTGGCTTTTGCCCAAATGTAGTCATAAATGCTGGATGTGGTCTACTCGACACCAGAATCTTGACATTTGGGAACGATTCAAGCTCGCTGATTAATCTTGCAATATCGAGATCTTTTCCGTCATACTCATCAATACCATCTATCAAGAAAAATATCTTCTTGTCAGCATGGAGCGCTGAACACAGAACCTTCAAAGCATTTGCCATTTCTTCAATGGATGGGACCTCGAGCTCAGGGTAACTTTGATGATTGTAGCACGCTTCTCGCCACATATGCGGAAGAGCGTGCTCAGTAACACTTGGGTCGTACTCCAAGATCTGATAGAGCAGGCTGCGTAGAAGTCCAGACTGTGACTTTTGCTCCGATTTCCCCAGGGCGTAGAAAAAGAAGTTTGCGAGAATCACGTCTGAGCCATTGGCCCACGTTTGAAGGAGAGCATGCGTTTTAACATGCTCATGAAGATACTTCATCAGAGTCGACTTGCCGCTCCCGGCCTTTCCAGAAAGCCAGTATAGGCCTGACGCGCTCTGTAACCAAGTGTTGAGATCATCCCACTGAAGATAGTCGCTAGGGGGGTCAAGAGCCCACTGTAGAGTCTTGAAGTGAGGACTCTTGATATTGACCCTTCGGTCGTCGTACCAGCGGAACCAGAGGGCGCGGATAACTCGGGATGAGATAAGTGCAGACTTGGCAGCAACAGCAGCCTCACCGATGCTTGGTCTCGTATTTGATGTCGCTTCGATGACCAAGTCAAGTTCGGCAAGGTCTTTGAGGTGGATCAGATCATTTTTGAAGAAAGCTGTTTCAGATACTGATGGCATTGGGATAAGATTATTCAAGGACGTATTGAAATATGAAAGGTGGTCGATGAGCGAGTTGAATTTGTCCTTATCGACGATGATCCAGCGGAATTTCTTGGTAACCTTTTTGAAGTTACTGTGTTGGCCAGCGTCTGAGGTTTGGCAAGGCTCGATTTTTAGCTCCTCAAACTGTTTGAGGAATTTTGCGAATCGAAAAGAGCTGGCGCCTTGATAGCGTGCCGTCGGCTCAGTGCCGACCTTTTCGACTCTTTTCAGACCATAGTCTCTTTGTAAAGCCTGGCCTTCGCTTAGCAGGGCTTTGATGCTTTCCAGAACCCGTGAGACGATTTGCCGAGTATCCGGATTGCACAACAGCACGTTAGTGGAGTCTTGCTTCAAGAGTCCAACCCGGTCAGACCACTGTAGGAAAAGCATCTTTTCCACGTCGAGCTTCGTGTCCATTAAGGCGGCATCTTTCCCCAGGTCGCGAGCTGCTGTGATCATGGAAAAAAGGTCGACGCAGTCTTTGAACAAGCTGACTAGGGCCACAGCCCCGATGGTGAGGCCAACCACTTCCATAGCAACTGTATTACTGCACAAAAGAGAGGATGGAGCTGCTAATTACCTTGGATGAACGGAACAGCTACAACCAATTGCCAATAGCCAAAGAAATGTTCCGAGTCACATGGCACACACAGCCTCCTTCGCATTGCATGCCTATTTAAGCAGGAAACATGAAGACCTTGACCCCAAGCGACGAAAATCTTTAGCCTAATCTAGCCTAAACTTAGGGGACTTCTACTGAGTTTATTTTATCATCCTCGTCTAGAATCTTTACTTTTCTTACTCCCAGAGGGCAGGGTTAAAATGTTAGCCAATGAGACATCCCAGCCCCCAAAGTTTCAGATGGCCAGAAACAGGGTCGTCAAGATAAACAAAGCGTCATACCGTCCATATGACTTCGTGGAATTTAAATATAAACGACACAAAAGATTGAAATAAAGATAAGATACCTAGAATCTGGGCTTGGCGATGGAAATCTCTTAGTAAGTGTAGTGGAATCTCGGGTTATGCTCTCCAAGCTCCTCAGCTTCCTCCTCAGTCAGTCCCTGGATTTTATGATCCTCCTTGCCTTCGACCTTTCTCTTATTCTGACGACGGAACCAGGCCCAGAAGGCCATATAGATCAGAGACGACATGGCGACCAAGGCCATAGAAACGGCGTGACCCTTGACGAAACGAGGACCCTCGTGAGTTTTGTACAACTGATTAAGTGTTAGCTGCGGCTCTTTGAAGGGGATAGGCTATACCTACAAATGGAGCTGGGATTCCTGCAGAGTTGCCAATGGTGAGCTGGAGACCAGTGGCGACAGTACGCTTTCCATAGCGCGGGTTGTTGCTGGGAAGCCAAGCAAGAGGTAAACCGACGATGACATATAGTCCCATGGCGGCGAGGAAACAACCGAAATATCGAACGCCAGATGGAGCTGGGCTGACCAGAAGAGCGTATCCAATGGCGCAGACAAGGCCGAGGATGACTGTGAAAACGGCTCGGCGCTGAGTTCGATCAGAGAACCATGCTACGACGAGGTAGGTGATCGCACCCATAGCGTAGCAAGGGATTGTCAGAGCCTGGACCTGAGCCGTGTTCCAATCACCCAACCCTCGGATAATCGTTGGCAAAAAGGTGCTGTATCCATAAAGAATAGTATCTCCTCCAAACTGACCAATGCAGAAAAGCCAGATCTTCCAATCCTTGAGACCAGCGTAGACATCGGCCTTGTGCATCTGATCCGAAGACTTGGTATGTCCGATTTGTCGCCGCATTCGTGCATCGATGAGTTCGCGTTCGTTGATGGTAAGGTAATGAGCTGAATCAGGATCATCTGCAAGCCAGAACCAAACAGCAATTCCAAGGATAAAAGTTGGAATTCCCTCGATGATAATAATCCATCGCCAACCCTTGAGCCCAGCTACGCCATCCATGTGACCGATACCGTAAGCGAGAAGGCCGCCGAGAGAACCTGCAATGGCGGCACTGACAAAGAGATAACCGATTCGAAGGGCGTATTCGCGCTTGGTGTAAAACATGGTAAGATAAATCGTAAGACCGGGAAAGAGACCGCCTTCAAGAGCACCAAGAATAACACGGCATGCGACCAAGCCCTTGAAATCTTGCACGATACCGGTAAGTGTGGCGACGATACCCCAGGCCGTGGTGATGAACGCGATCCATCGCGAGGGTCTGAATTTCTTGATGACGAGGTTTGATGGAAGCTCAGAAGCGATGTACGTAACGAACAGAACTGAAACTGCGAGTTGATACTGCGTCTGTTAGTATAACCAAGAAGTTCTCATTGATGGATACTCACCTGATCGCCCACCAAGCCTAGATCCTCTTCCATACCATAGAGTCGCGCATTACCAATATTCACACGATCCAGAAAACTGAGAAGGTAGAGCAGCATCACAGGCGGAACAATCCACATATCCAGCTTTCTCAAAAGCGCCTTCTCAGCAACTGGATCGATGTAAATCTCATCTTGGGTAGTGCGCTGCTCCTCGATCTCCTTGTCAGGGAGGCTATCAGGCTTTGAAGTCATAGTGGCGAATCCTTTGACAGTAACCGCAGATGAAGTAGTTGATGAGATGAGATGATGATGATGATGGAGAAATGCTGAGCGACGGGACCCAGTCAATTTAAGAAGGACGAGTCTTATCTCCGCACGGTGGTTTACCCCGGATCTTGGAGAGGGATTTGTATTTGGTAACGAGAACTATCTTCGTGCTGTAACCCCAGAATCATCGTGGCAGGGATTTGGGGCCGGGGATCGCTGATTGACCTGCCTGTCTTGGTGGAGCTGGCGTCGGGTCGTGAGGGATTTGCCGATGGGGACATGATTCAGGACCGGCAACTTTTGACTTGCCGGGTGTGCTTCTAGAACGAACGCTAGATGCCATGAGACGTCATTTTTGTTCAGCTCGGCTGTTGAAAAATTACCTCGTGCTACCGGTATCAATATCCATCGGGTCATATTTGCTCTCTTTTATCACATGAGTGCGATTTTAGTTGATCGATTGGTGAGACTCACGTATTGCAAGCTGCCAGCAACGTCTCGGTACGTTTATCTACAGCACCACTTATCTTTCCCGCTATCTTTTGCGGTTCCACAGTAAATGCATGGAACAATGATGGAACGTTAATGATCGACGTCTGAGCTACGCTATCATCGGAAGATAAGATATCACGCACTTACATGGCCGTCTTCAAGTTTCTGTTGCATCTAACTATGACGTGCATTCTCATCCGATACTTAGCAGATTAAACGCTGTAAGTATTGATCTCGAAAATATTACTAGGTATAACAAGTTGGGGTTAATAAATACGCTTTCAGTGACGGGCCTTAGTAGCGGACTCCAAGTAGCTTGATATGTATCGCCAAATGACCAAAACACAAGGAGGCTGTAAAGTTTTGTCCCGACACAGGATATCTATCAATATAAATTCTCATTCAAAGCTAGACTCTAGGCTGATCAAGAGTTACGAAAAAGGCTTTCGATCAAACCATATCATAGTTCAAGATTGCTGATGCTGCTGTCTTGTCGGGGCTTGTTGAGAGAATGAGTACATAGATTTCAGATTTCGGTACCTCTTCTAGTGCGAGACAATCAAGGAGAATGAAGTATCTCCCTTGTATCTTCTCGAGTTGTAAAGTTTGTGCTCAATCCGTCCCAAACTTTAACGTTGGATTGCACCACTAGGATCGGCTACGAGGACATGTGGCTCAGATCATCAAATGCATCGTGTCGCAAGGCAAAACGAGTTCAACAATCAGACCTCCTGATTTTCGAATCGAACTTTGGCTCCAGAAGTCTGGACATTACCGCTGCGCCAGATCAGACGATGCATCTTCGCGGAAGGCACGAAGATACTTTATCACGGGATCACGTTGTTAGCAGAGTACTTCATCAGTGCCACGGTTCACAACACTTTGAGAGCTTTGAAAGGGATGGAGGACCAAAATAAAAGCCAAATAGATGATGCGCACCGGATGAGCAAAAAATGGGAGCCATCACTGGACATCCCGTCTGCCATACTTCAAGACCACTGAACAGACGCCCTCAGACGTGGTTTTATCCAAGGGACTTGAACCCTCTTAGCATAGCTCTTAGCCTCAGCAGGACTGTGAAAGTATCTTCATTGGGATGGAAACTGCTGCGCTTTTACGACTTAAATACCCATTTCTCAAGTTATATTGGACAAGAGCTGGAGGGTATGGTGGACTGTTGGCTACTTCCTGTATTGCGAGGTGGACTGCGGGACAACTGAATGACTAATGCCGTACCCGACGTGGCAGGACTGCAGAACCACGCGAAAGATAAGTACTGATAGTACTTCGAGAGGCTAGCAATATGGGCTAAAGGTCAAGTCAAGTGAGGGACAAGAATTGGCTGGTAAGTGAACGTTTCAAGGAACTCCTTTATGCTCAGAGCCACCAAGTGTTTGGCCAGGGAAACCGAGCAACTTAATGTTTAACTGTGCAAGACCATAATTTTAGACTTGCTTCTCAGGATGTATGTAATAACCTGGTTGATGATATATGCACTAGGACGTGATGTTCAAGTATGATATATATATATATATATAATTTGCCATTGAGATAAGTGGCGTGCAGTTAGTCACGGCGGGAACCCAAACTGCGCCATGCGTGATAGTCGCCAGAAACATCAAAGTATAATCTTTGCGGAATGACTTTCTAAAAAAAAAACTTTAATATTTTTGGAACCTTGTTGCTCCACAATGGCTCAGCATATGTAAAGTGCTGTCTACCCCCCTCGCACAAAAAGGCAGTGGTTGCACCTGAACCCTCTTGGCACCAGGACTGTGGAGTATCAGGAACTGTGATGAGACGTCCAGTCAGTGGCAGCGCCTGTCGATCCGGTCTATCTTGGACTTGGAAAGAAATGGATTAGATCTGAGTTCCTAGTTACGCGTCCTCTTCTGAAGCATTATGACTTTTTGACACATATTGAGAAAACATCCCGCGCGGCGGTGAGAGCACAATGGCTGCAACCCTAGCTTTTCTTTCGACGGTCGGACTTTGGAACGACATACTAGCAAAGCCTGAACTGGCATATGATGACGGATCTGCACGAGCAAAGCTTCTGGATCCTCTTTGTGAAACGAAAGTTCGAATTCGCAAATATTCTCTGGATTCCGGCTGTATCAAAGCTTACATGGCGCATTAACCCGTACGGAAGTGATGGCATCTGCCAGTGCAAGCCTCCGAGGATTCTGGAAAGGCTACCTTTGTCTTGCCATGCTGCAAGCAAATTTCAAAGGATGTCCTCTAGCAAGCTATCATCGAATATGGCACCTTCGAGAGATCAGAGCCAATCCGTTAGTCCTGACAATACGCCGGCACCGACCTATTGAACGGCCGCCTTTGATTATCCCGCCGTACAGTTGCGGACTACAAAAGGAGTACCTCATATATCGTGTCAACTCCTATATTCCTAAGCCACAACTGATCACGATGCACCCCCTTTCTCATTATCCCCATTTACCTCGCCCCATG